TGATAGATCAGTTTGTACATTTTTTAGCGTGCGCAGTGAAATAGCTCACGTTTTTATACACGCAAACCTTTGATAGATCCGGCCCATAGTGTTTGGACCAACAGTTGAAAGTTGGCACACAGCTTTAGTTAATACAGCTAGGAACATCATTCTGTCTGCATATCTGGGCGTAATAATGAACTCAGTCCTGAACCTTCATGAGCAGGTAACGTCAGTTAGATCTTTATCTTTTTATCTTTAGTAGAGGCAATCACTGCAACCTTGAATCAGAAACCTGCAGCGGATTCAGAAGGCTGCTGCCTGTGTCCTCACTCAAACTAAGAAAGTGGAGAACACCAGCCCAGTTCTAAAGACCATCCACTGGCTCCCTGCAGAAAATAGACTTCAACATTCCTAAGTTAGTCTATAAATCCCCAAATGGCTTAATATCAAATGAGTAAGCATAATCCTAATACATTTTTATTTGATTTAATTGTTGAAAAGGTAACCTTGATGGAACAATAGGATTTTAAATGCATGCTCAGGTGAAAGGAAAAGCGATTACCTTGATAGACCACATTCCTGGCTGAGGCTCCTTGATATTGACAACTTTTGCTGAGTTGGGAATGTGCAAAAGCTCAGTGAGGCCATCATTCTTGCCCAAAAGCTTTCCTAAAATTCAAACATAAATAGAGTTGCAATTATTTACCCTTTTTGACAGCTGTTATGGATTAAAGTTTCTTTTTTTTTTACTTTATATAACATAGTTGTAAGTTAGACATATAAAATTATAAAACTTCTAAGGGAAATTGTATGAAATCTTGTAAGTATTAGTCAAGATGCTGTAAGTGAAAGAACATATGTGGAGTATATGTATCCCAGATGTTGGAATTCCTGGAACATACTCAAACTGTTGGTTAAGTATATCAGTTGTTCTCGCTAACAATGCCTTAGAGGTTACAAATTACTCATTATAACAATATGTTATCTTTTCTATCAAACTAATGAGTGAAATCTGCTAGAAAAAAAGGCAGCTGGTTTGAGGATAATAATACAAACATGAATCGATAGAAGCCTTAAAAAAAAAAGAAAAACAGCTGGTAGCTTTTAAAGGCAAATGAGCTTTTAAAAGGTTTTGCTGAAAAGCTAATTCCTTATTAGAATTTTTGAGGACAAATTTTAAAATCCCCAAAGTAGAGATAATGAGGTTAACTTGAGGTAAAAAAAAAAAAAAAAAAGCACTGTTTAGGGCATCTCTGAGACAAGATTATCTTTCAAGAACAAAAATAACCTTTATTTTTTATCATTTATTTGATTTATTATGTATTTTTTTGGTACAATTTATTTAATATTTTTATGTATTGAAGCAATTTTATCTGTTTGTTGTTGGACTACAGGTTGCCAGTGAAGATTCTCAATTGAACATTGCAGCTGAAACCATAAAGTATAAACCACATGACACTTTTAATGTAAATAAACTGCATTCTAAATCAGCGGTCCCCAACCACCGGGCCGCGGACCGGGTCATTTGGTACCAGGCCGCACAGAAAAAAGTATATATATATATATA